AAATACGTAAAATATACTCTTATCAATTTCCTCATACATGTGAAACCTACTTTCGTAGTAAATCAACTATACTTATAACTAATCCATACATACTCTCATGGTAATAAAATTAGTTACAAGTTAATTACGTCTATGAAATTACATGAAATAAATCACTAAAGCCACAAAGGTGTACCTCTGTTCTCATGAGTATACTCCCAAAGTTTAGCACTTTTTGAACTAGTGTTAAATCTCAATTTCATTATAAAAATACCACCTTTAGATAATCACAATTAATTGTACCAAGTTAATCATAATTTAGGAGAGCAAAAGTGCTAAATAACTTGCTCAAAATTAAAGCATCAAATAGCTAAGAAATTAACATAATACAATCATAGGAAGTTCAACCAAAACCCAAGGCATAAATTTAGAAAGACATGATAAATATAAAATCCAAACTTGCATAATAACTAAATAATAGAATCAAATACAAAAGTTAAACAGTTTGGAAAGAAATGTAACTCTTGTCACATGAGTTCATCTCCTCCATCTTCATCTTTGCCTAGCTAATAAACAAGAAAAATAAACTAACTAGTTAAACTATCCTATACCATACTAACCTAACACTAAGAAAATGTAAGAGCCACATTTTAGTAGTATTTCTTGCACTCTCCAAGCTCTCTTGATTCTTACATCTCCATGGCTATTTATAGAAAAATTTAGTCAAAAAATGAGGCTTCAAACATCACTTTTACAACTGCAAAATAGTTGTCACACATCCATCAATAGCTGTGAATTATTGGAGGAGAAAACAAGTTGTGCAAGTAGAGAGCCGTAATTTCAGACCAAAATCCGGCCAAATATCCATCCAAAAATTGGTTAGATTGTTAGCCGGATTGCTCCCCTACTTTGCTTCTCAATTTCTGTTCAATCTTCAATGTTGTTCGAATTTTGCATCAAATTCAACTGAAAGTTTCTTGATGATAAAGGCCGAATTAACTGTTGACCAAAACATAGCGCTTGTATCCCTTTGGGTTAGCTTTCCAATGCATTAAGAATCACCTCATTTGGATTTATGTAGGCTGCAAAATGACTGAAATACCCTTAACAGCTCAATGCCTTGTTGGCTACTGTAATTCAGATTTTTGTCCTAGAAAACCTTTAAATTGGATTTCGATGTCTTCATAGGAATTGTAGATCTATCTCTTATCTTCAAAGTGGTTCAATAGTCATTTCAATCCGATCATTGTAGCTCAAGTTATAGCCAAGATTCAAAAATGTGTCAAAGCTGTCAACTTTCCTTTTTCATCCAAATGAAGTCTATTTCTAACTCCTATAAAACATTACGGACAAAATGCAAGTGAAATGTGATATAAACCTCATTTAAACGCTTAAGAGCATTTTAAACTAATTATAGCCAAAATAATCCATTTCCTTCTTATAGCATTGCAAAAGTGACTGAAAATAACATAAAATGTCATTTTAATATAGTTCAAAATAGTCACTTATCACTCATGGTCTTATTTGATAAGAAAACATATTGCCATATATTAAAATTCCATAAAATAAAATAAAATGAAACAATGTAGTAGAGACTTCTAGACACCATTAGATTAGTAACTAGAAAACTTTAATAAAAAGATAAAAAGATTCTTTTCTAGATAAAAATGCATATTAGAATAGAGTTCTAGATCCTACAAATACTTATAATAAAAGCTTTTCTCAATAATTGGATTAGGTGGGATATGGTAATGGAGTAGACACTAGAGAGTCCTAGATAGGTCAAAACACTTTAATAGAAGAAGACAAATGCTCTTCATAGTTCACAATAATCGAGGAGTAAGTGGGGTAGGATAGCATTACTGATAGCAACAATCGTTAGAATCGGCAAGTGAGACATGTGCCCCTTCTTCCTTTCCTACTAGTAGGTCAAATCTAGAAGGTGAGATGTGGTTAAAGAGAATGTAGGGATCAGTAAATTTGTTAGGGTTTTATGTTGTGAATAACTGTCCATTTTGGAGCTCAAACTTGGGTTGAAATTTCATTGGATGGCCGATAATATTTTATTATGGATTGATGGACAAGTTTTTGGGTATGATCAAATCTCGGATGGTTATTGTACACCATGGTCATCTCTGACCTCCTCCTTCAGCTTTTCAAATTGAGCAGAAAATTTCTTCTATGACTTTTTAGATTTAGTAGGGCTTTCTCTATCAATAATATTGAGGACTTCTCAGGTTTGGTAGAGACTTCCTCCGCGCTAGGCTTGGATATTTCCAGAAACTCGCCATTAGTGTTGCTCGTCTTTTTTCCTATCTCTCCTTGTCACATTTCTTGTTGTCTACAATGGAAGTATGCATCTTTTGCAAGTAGACTTGAGAATGGCATGCGGTTGCTCGAGCATAGGATCTATTTGGTAAGAAAACATATTAAGATATATTAGAAACTTTAAAATAAAATAAAATGAAACAATGGAGCAAAGACTTCTAGGCACATTTAGATCAAAAAGTAAAAAAAACTGATAAAAATATTAAAAGCTTTCTTTCTTTCTTTTTGATAAAAAAATATTAAAAGAGAGTTCTAGGTTCCAAAAATACTATTAACCAAATCTCTTCTGATCGGAGTAGGTGGGATAAGAAAATGGAATAGAGACTAAAGAGTTCTAGATGGAATAAACACTTTAATAAAGAAGATAAATGTTTTCACAATTCACAATAATCAAAAGGAATAAGTGGTAGGATAGCATCTACCAGATATTGCGAGAGGGCAAGACATTGGTCCCTTTTTTTTTTCCTATCGGCTGGTCAAATTAGAAGGTAATGTGTGGTTGAAGGGAAATGTGGTGATGAGGTAAATTTGTTAGGTTTTGCATTGTGAACAACGTGTCTATTTTGGACCTCGGACCTCGGCATGGTGGCACGCCTAGGCGCTGACTAGCTATGCTTCAGTCTTTGAATTATCAATGACTGATGTTGATGGAGTTGTTTCATCGAAATAGCTTCTTTATTGATCACTCCTACGGTCCCACCAAACATGCCACTATATTTGTGCCGATTTTTACCGATCTACAAACTGTTGTTCATTAAGTGATGGTTGCTAGCATGTCACTTAATTTGTGCAAGGAAAACCTTATGAATAATCAATTTGGTGGAAATAACATTGCATCGATTATGCTAACTTCTAGGACAATTGCCATTTGTCCCACCTTGAGCAACCTCAAGGACTTAAAAATTCGTGCTAAGAGTACCAATTAAGAAGGAAAGAATACATTGACAATGACCGATGGCTAAAGCTGATAAATTATAAACATAAAATGTGCTAGAAAACTCATGAAGATTGCTTGGAAATGGAAAGAACTTTGAACAGGCCTTGCTGATTTGTACAAAGACAAACATGAAACTGTTGGAAATATGAAATAAAAACAAAATGATTAGATGAAAATTTGGAAATCCTAGAAATTAACCTAATGCTTCTAAGAAAGTTTTGGAAATCCTAATTCTAGCCTATGATTTCTAAGAAAGCTGTTTAAAAGTAAAGAAACATCATATTTGTCATGTCTTTGTGAAGTGAAAAGATTGTTCCCGATCTGATATACATATTTAGTGTTTATAGATGCGTAATTTCCTTTCAAAATCAGCAGTTTAACTCCGTTAATGCCCACATTATGCTCCATGCTAGCCATATTGGTCTTCAAACATGGGTAGTGGTAACTGTCCACTCTCATATTTGGGATAACTACCTCATGCTTAATTTGTAGGGACATCGTTGCCTCTCCCTTTATCAATACATGATCTACTGTGTCAGCTCCTTTTGCATCGGCACTCACTCGCACCAATGAACATGGGCCAATATGCCTTTGCACGCATCGATTAGTATGTAAATATTGGTCTTCATTATCGATCTCTCATGGAACCTTTAATACTCACACCCGCTTTAAATTGGTGTCACTACCGATGCATTCCTAATTGTCGATTTTCGAAGATCAATTGCCAATCAAACCACTATGTGACCTTCATTTGCCGCAGTTGATTAACTCCTTGTGATATAGCAGATTATTTCCATGTTGATTATTGATGAATTGTCAGCCTTGAAGAGATTTGCTAGCATAATCGGCTTCGTTTCTTTCTTTTATATCTGAACAAATCAGCATATCTTTGTACATACTGATAGGTGCATTAATATCAGTCATCATGCCAATTATTGATCGGCTTCAAATGAATGCTGCCGATAAGTTGTAAATATTGCACCAATAATTACGACTAAAACCATAAAATTACATACCTTATATATAATATATATATACACACATATATATATATATAGTAACGCTAAGCTTAGATGATGATCCAACCTATTTCAGAAATAAACCAAGGGAACAGCCATTAAATTAAAGATTTTTTTAAAGAAAAGAATACCGCTGCAATACAAAAAAGAGACCACCTAGATAAAGCGATTGAAAGTCACAACATTTTTAAGCAATAAAGACAAACAAAGGAATCTCTAACATTAGGGAGATAGATTATCCTTTATTTTTGTCATTTGGAGAAAATGTAATTTCAAAGGTACAAAAATCTTGATGTATACAAGTGGTAGTATACTTCAGTCGTGAAATTGCTTGATTTGTAATTGGATTATTCTTGAGCATTAACCGGCATTTCATACTTTGGTGTACACCAGTTCGTCTCACTCGATTTTATTATAAAAACTTATTGTTGCTAACTGAAACCCAAAAGGAAAGGAATCAAAATTCAAATTTTCGATAAAAGTCAAGCAGACATATAATTCCCGAAAAGACCCAGATAATGATTTTATTTTTTTAGGCAAACTGTATATCTTTTTTGATAAAGCAAGAGAAAATACAAAAGCAGAAGGTTTGCATTACAAGAGCAATATGCAGCAGCAGCACAAAAGTCGAAATAATAAAATGAGTAAAACCCCAACTAAGATTATATTATTGCTTTAAAGCATAGATATAATCTTTGGATGCCAAAATTTGTTGCATCCGTACATTGGCACCGTGATCATTTTCTCCATCTCCTTCTGAAAGTTTTCCATGGCTGCAACAGGCAAGCACACTGGAACGACCAAACTATCATCTCCTTGGGTATTTCGAAGTCGCGAATAAACTGCCATATTAAAAGTTGGCCTCCATCCATAATTCCGCCATAAATTGGCTTTCCCCAGCCAAAATCTACCTCGTCAATTCCAGTTCTTGATGCATCCGAAAGAATCCAATCCTTCAACAACGTAGAATACCCTGGTTTTCCATGCAAAACATTATAGTCAATGGCTGACTCGATGAAGTCCTCAGTTACTTGATGTTTTGCTTTCTTCACTAGCTCTAATGCATAGACAAATGAATTGTTGCACAACTGGTTGACCTTTGAGACTGCAGCGGAAGAGACAATCCATTGCCATAATAACCACTAGGCAACTTTGGTTTATTTTTACCACAAACATTGACTGCATGGGTAAGAGTAACGATTTCTTCAGGATCCAATTGTAAGGCTATTGTTCTTGATCTCCATACAAGCGCAGTTACGAGATCAAATTTTGTTGCATAAGGAATGTTTGGTGGTAGGTATTTCTGGATGGCTTTTATCTCTTGTGCTCCAAAAAAGAAGCATTTGCGTACAAGGTTGAGAGGGGAGTCCAATATTGTAGGCTCAGTGCTACTATTACTGTTTTCTTCCACCTCGAACTCATTATGCACACATGTGACGTATGGTGGATTTCTTGCACTTAAGAGCCATCTTTGCCACACAGGTAATGGAGAAGGTGCTGATGATGGATCTTTGGATATTTGGCTTACTGCATTCAGAAACTGGGCTAAGCCAACTGCATCACTAATTGCATGGTTTATGCGAATAGCAAGGACAAGTCCACCACAGATCAAGCGAGTCACCTGAATTTTGACCCCAAAAGAAATGAAAATGATAATAAGAAAGTTTTCAAGTAAAGTTTGTAAATAAGTAGCAATTTTGGAAAGTATAATTGGATATTTCAAGTAAAGATTCTTGGATATTGTGAGAAACTTCATTTTAATGATAACTTTATCTACCTACCATTTTGCAGCTAATTCTATTAGGATTAACAGCAAACTACACAGAATAACCACTAGTATAGCGACTTTGTGCGTTCAGTGCCATTTTGAAATTAAAAAATAGTTGAATGACTAATGTATAAGATTTCAATAATACAATGGTCAGTGGAGTTTTTTGTCCTAATAAGAAGAAAAAATGTTATAGCTCCACGTATTTAGATTGTTTCCTTATATTTACTCAATTAATCTTCCGACAGATTCACATAGTCCTCCATAACTACTTAACTACCACTATTTTAGAGTTTAAATTACTAATAACCCCATAGTCTCTTATGCTATCATGTAACTCTTTAAAGTTTCAAAATATCTATAAACTTCCTTGTGTTTTGATATAGAGTGAAAATTTGGCAGAAAAAAATCTTCTGTTATTAAAAGAAATGGTAGTATCGTCGGTGTTTAAATATTAAATGGAAAAAAGATCCATCCACCTATACAGTCATAGACGGATTTTTTAAATAGATACAAAATTATAAAGGGGTCAAGACTCAAGTGAACATTTATGTAAAAATACTAGAAGACATTATCCTCACACCTTTTTAGAGTATGTTTGGATATATATATCTCCGCAATTGGAAGTACTTTCCATCTATTTTCAACTTTACGTAGAAGCACTTGTAAAGCGTAGATGGTCATATAGCAATTTGTAGATAACCAAACAAAGGCATACAGTTTGGCTGGAAGATGAAGAGGCCAGAGTTAGCCTGAATGTTTTGCCCACCTGAATCAACATCAATGGACTGTCCAAGATCTCTGTAGAGTCAGAAGCATCCACTAAGAACTCCTTTGAGTAAGGAAATGGTGGCTGCATGAAGTCACGAAGTTGATCGAGCCCAACCTCTGCAATGGCTTCTCTAAACACCACCCCTTCAGCTGTGCAGTTGACAAGAATCTTATCTGAAGGCCCTTCAATGAGCCTGCCGGCATAGGGATAGTAATAAACAAGTGCTTTAGCTACTGCATCCCTAATCACCCCAACAGGGTTCTTTTCGTCCAAGAATTGATTATAGCTAAAAAACATAATCATGGGTACATGAAATCTGAGGCCCTTTTGATCGTCTATATCAGAAAGTGGTCTTATTTCACGGGGAGTAGGTTTTGCAGGGACAATCAACTCTGCTTCCTTATGTCTCACTAAAAATTGCGTTGCCATTTCTTATTTTTCTTTCTTGTTGGGGGAGGGGGGGGACGGGGAAGTGTAGGGGCGCTACTACAAAATAATTGAAACTTTTAAAAGTTTGGTACCTACTAAGTCTCGCTATGTGTTCTCGTATTTATAGAATTTTTGAGCGCGTTACTACCTTTTTTAACCTAGTTCCTCACCTGAAAGAACGTTGCACGTGCATCGGTTATATTAGGCTTACCGGCCAACAAATATGATGAGAAAAAAAAAAAGAAAATATGATATCAAGCGAAACCAAAAATGTGATGGAGAATTGAAAACTAGAAAATGATACTTCCGGTGTTGGTCCTCATGCATGAGGACTTTAGGCTTTAGCCACCGACTCTTTTTTTTTTTTTAGCCACCGACTTTCAACACGTACAACTATGGAAAAATCAACTTGCGGCTAGTATCACAGCATAACATCTTTTGGCGTTTTCAGGATGGAAAATTGACTGCACAACTCAAATGACAACGTTTCGCGTTTTAAGGGTAGAATACCAAATCAAAGTGGGCTTTAATTTCAGCCTCTAGCAAGGGATAAGGGAAGAGAACCCAAAAGTGATCATTCACCTTCACGATCACTCTCTGTTGATGTTGATGTTGATGTTGATGAGTTAGTCCTTCCATGTGAAACATTTATTTATTTGTAAAACACAAAACACCTAGAGTTTATGCACATGGAAAGAATTTGTGGGTTGCTGTCTGGAAAAGTACAGGAAAGAGTGAATATCGAAGAAAAATTCAATAATTCAACAATGTCTACGAACCGCTGATAAAACTGAATAAAGTTGTGCTGATTTATCGTATCAAGATAAAGACTAACTTGGCGGTGGAACTGCCCAGATTTTTGGGAATTCTCTGGGCAACAGGAACCAACTAGATTCCGTGAGTTGGTGTAGTAGATTTTAGTGATGAAGATTTTGGATTTAGTAAAGGAAGAAAAGAAATGGAAAATGGAAGGGAAAAGCAAAATATAGAAAATGAAAAATGAAGGGGAACAAAAAAAAAAAAAGGAAGGAACGAGATTTGTCTTCTGCTCAACAATGGATGTTGGAGAGGATGACATGTTTTTATAATTTCAATTTAGACCCTCAATTTACTTTTTGTTTTCAAATAAATTAAGGAAGTTAGTAAAATTTCAATTAAACCATATATGAACTATTGGTACGGATCGAAAACAGGGTTAGTATAGGAATTTTAAACCTTTCCTTTCAATTGGATGATTTCCATCCATTTCCCAAAGAAATCCAAAGTATGGAGGAGTTATATGGGTATTTTTAAATAATAAGGGATTTCATGTACAATAGGCAAACCACCGAGGAGATTTAGTGTATTTTACCCCCAAAACAATTTCCTCTACCTTGCCAAATGAATATTCCTTGGAGATTGTGGTGATACTAGGGTAACAAATGGAATGTACTAACTTTATTATGGAAAGAACATTTTGTAACAACTAATAAATATTCTTCTAATTTGTTGTTAGATATGGCCATGATTTCAAAATTGCTAGTTCTGATGTAAAAATTGATGGTTTCAATTCTTCTAAAAGGTGAAACTTGAACCGACACTTATAAGGACAATTACGGTTATAGTTCTTGAACCTTTGGTACTAGTTTTATTCTAGTTATGATTTAAGTTTCTTCCGGATATGCTTCCGGTTCTTTTACTTACGTCTGAAAAATTATTATTATAAAATTGATTCTACGAAAATATGACAATGAATATAGAAAAAAAAATAAGGACTTTATTGTATTATTGTGTGTAAGGAAAAAGAAAAAATGATGCAAATTTTATATTTAAAAAAAAACCTCATTATTGATTAGATTAAATTGGTTTTGGACTTAAATTATAGGGTCTAGGCTTACTAATGGGGATGGGACAATGGGTTGTTGGGTAAGGATTAGAGCTGCTTAGTATTGTGTGCTGACTATCGATATTGAATTCTAAACTAATCAAATAGATTTATATAGCAAATATCTTTTTTCTGCACGACTTGACCCGAGTCTAAATCGCCAATTTTGATTTCAGTTTAAGTTTTTGGTAAATTTGAATCTAATTCTTTAGTTACGATTATGGTTTTGATTTCGATTTTTAAAATTTGATTTTGGTTTCAATTCAACAAACTATTAATCTGGTTCTAATTCAAAGTAGAACCGTGACCACTCCAATTTGTTGCCATCACCATTCAAAACTAAATGAGGAACTAGAAACTTTATAAAGGAATACGGGACTCAGTCACTGAGTTCACAAAGAAAGACAACGCAAAATTATAATAGACGTACTCATGATGTTAAGGTATAGCAGTCTAATTTTATCTAACAACTTGTCATCTAAATATGCCAACAAATATGTTCGTTGTACAACTTCAAAATTCAGTGACGTTAGGGACATTTGCAAATATCAATTGTAAAGTGAACTTTCTACAAGCTCAATTTCAAGACATGTGGCACCAAACCAATGTAGAGATTGAAGACAAGACAAATCTAAGGTTGTTGATCTTCGCAAGGAGCATCTTTTTCTTTTCTTTTCTTATTTCAATGATTTGCTGCAACTGTCATCATTGTTTGCTTGTGCTTCTGTAAGTTTTCCATGTTTTCTTTTTCTCCTGTATGAAAAGATAAGAATATTATCATAGATACATAACAAGAGAGGTGAGAAAAGTAAATAAGTACATTATTTGTTGAAACTCTTTGTTGAAGTTTGCAACTCCTGTATCAGAATGACTTGCCGCACTCTGCATGTAATATAATTATATATTTTGTATGGTAGACTTTTCAAAATAAACAAAAAATTAATTACCTCCACCTCAATATCATTTTGGAATTGTAAAAAATCTTTCCAAATTTGCAATTGTAAAATATTAAATGGTGCAAGTGAATTTTCATTTTGGAATAGTAGAAATTCTTTCCGAATTTGCAATTGTAAAATATTGAATGATACAAGTGATAAAATTCAGGAAGCATTATAAATTTAAGTGAAAATGACCAAATTCTTGCCTAAAATATTTACTAAAGGTATTTTAGTTTTGGCCAATGTGATCCTTAAGCACAAGGGGTTTTTCTAACGGCTGCCCAATAGGCACTTGTTAATACACGTACATTCCATCCAATCTACCATATATATATGTATACTAACAATTATTGCTTCCACTTGCATTTATATATTTTTTCTATTTGATCATTTGGTATTTATATACTTTCTTTAATTAATCTTATATTTCTAAAATCTAGCACCTAAAATATATCTTAATAGGTGCTTCCGTTAAAGACCATAAACATAATTCTCTAATCCATCTAAGTTCCTCTAAGATGGCGCCATCACTTAAAGTCAACCGCACCTCTGTTTATCAATTAAACAAAAGTATTTTAAAAACTTCAAATATGGGGCTACAATAAATCAAGTAAATTAAAAAACAATGGATCCATATGAAATGAAGTATTTTACAAAATTTTTGGGCACTTTTAAAATTTCTTATTTTAGTTTTCACTCCTCCCCTACCTCAACCCTCCCTATCACCCCTCTTTTCCCGTCTCCACCACCTCTTCACCTCTGCACCTTCCCCAATTCCTACCACCAACCCGCTGCCCCCTCTCCCACCAAACCCACCATCCTCTCCACTCCCCTCCAATCATGAAAAGCTGATAAATTCCGAACCCACACCACATCCCTTCCCCCAAAATATTTTTTGATTTACTTGAATTTGTTATATCCCCACGCCCAAAGTTTCCAAAACATGATTTTGGTGGTAGTGCTGCTGCAGAAGGATTTAATTGGACCGAAAATTAACTTTAAAAATCACATTGACCAAAACTAGAGTTTGGATATTAAATCAGCTTTAGTAAATATGTTTAGGGACAAATTTGACCATTTCTCATAATTTTAAAATGATCTAAGTATAGAAAAATTATGTTGATATCTTTTGAATTACTTTCTTCTTTTTTTTGGATGGATTTTTTGTCTACACTGCCAAGTATCATTTAATATGAAAAATATTTGTTAGATAGTAAAAAAATAAAAACAGTTTAATATTCATACCTTATATTGTGAACAACTTTGACGATGTTCATATTTAGTAAGTAATTGTTACAGTAACTGGTGTATCCTCGTCTTCCTCCATTCTTTGACGAACAAGTTTTCAATTTAATATAGGGTTTTGATTTTACTTGAACTTGAATTTAATTCTAGGGCTACAGAGAAAATTGTAATATAGAACTTGAACTTTGAATTTAATTCTTTGACGAACAAATTGATTTGGTTTTAACTTGAATTTACTCGTCCTCCTCCATCTTGTATGCTCAAAGGCTTTTTTTTTTTTTTCTTTTTAAAGAGAAACGTAAGCCCAAAGTCTGATGAACTTGTAATTATTTAATTTAATTACACCAAAATCAATTTTAACTAAATAAATTATTTAAAGGTTCTGTTGTCTACAATGATCACAGGTCTAATAGTCGGAGACCCGGTGACAATAGTAGTGACCCTGTTGACACAAGAAACGATGTCGTACAAAACAAATCATGCACAAATCATTTCTAATGGCTTAGGTTGGTTGCCTCTATGGCATTTTGAAGGGGCAGCTCCTCGGAGAGTCAACGTCAAGGACTTGTGAAACGGCTTCCTTGTCCCAATCTTCAGTGCTAAGGCACTGGTAACAGAGGGTAGGACCGTCGTCCTTATTCCGTACATTATGGCAAGATTAATACTCCCTCCGTCCCAAAATAAGGGACGTTTTTGAGGATTCTAACTTATTATGCACAGTTCAATCAATTTGAATTGAATGTGAGATATTTTTTTCCAATCGCGCCCCTTTGACCGATATCAAATCTTAATTGTTGTCTATGGTGATATGAAAAGAATCTGTGGGTCCATGTAAAATGTAAGCCCTTTTTCATGCTGTTGCCAAGCACGCGCCTATTTATGGCCATCAAAATTTTTGGTGCTGTCCACGCACCTTTTTTTTGGATGTCTATTTATTGCTTTTGTGGGTTCCA